AAGCGAAAGGCACGCATTCGATCATTCAGAAAAGAAGGCATGCACCCTATATTCAGATTGAAAGGTCATTTTTACAAAAAGAGAGAACGGCCAGTCAGGGCCGAAATAATATATATATATGTCTGCCGCGCAAATCTCACGGCCTGGAGTTCCGGGCCGAGGGGATGTGCGTTAACACGGGGTTTCCTGCTTTTGGGTGCAGTGCGGTTATGCGCGGGCGTGCCAGCATGGTTTACCGTGCGTTGATGTTTCGGTGAGTGTTGGATGGGTGAATGGTGCGCCTGTTTGATCTGTCTTCCTGGTCAAACGATTGTAGCCGAGAGAGGAACTGGTCTCGGCTGTTAGGTTCACGGCCTGAACTACAAGGCCGTCAAGTGATGGTGTTGGTGGTGGATTTTGGGCGGTGCTCCGGCGCGCTGCTCAGGGAGCGACGGTCGTATGATATATGGGGTGAATGAACGAACAAACAAGGGTTTTGCTGCATTAAACAGGCACTACTTCATTAAATGAAGCCTGGGACCCTGCTGTCACGTGATGATCTGACTTTAATCCCTTTGGCCGTGACCTTGCTCTACCTCGGCCTCGGCCTATGCTTGAGGCCGAGATGATCATGCCTTAGCATTTCCTTCTTTTATTTTTAAGAAGGCGAAGTACCCTGGCGAAACGCTGCATTCCAGCCTCTGCGAACAAGTGCCAGGGCCGAAAGAAAGGGCTCCTTCGGCCAGCTCGTGGCCGTGATTTATCAGGCACAAACATTGCCCCCACATCCCTGGATTCTTCGGCCTCAGCATAGGTAGGGGCCGAATGGATTCCAAGGGATGGACCCTTTGCATTCCTTTCTGAAGTGACTGACAACTGGGGCATTAAATGCGCAGGCCAGACGGTGCATTCCGCGCATTTAATGCCTCAAGCACGTCGCGCAGGCCATCATTGCCCAGGGCGTCGCGTCGCCTCGTCAAATGAAACGACGGTCACTGTCATAACTTCGCGTGCTCTGAGTGCGCTGTCAGGCCGTTTCATCTTTGTGCTCTGAATATGCTGTCGGGCCGTTCCGTTTTACGAGAATCACACCCCCTCATCTCGAATTTCAGTATGAGTATAAAAACCTAACTCCTTCGCCCTTTCTTCATACTCCAAAAAATCCCCGAGTTCATCCCTTTCAAAAGCTACTCCGAGCCTCTCTTTTAATTTCTGCCCTAATAGCCTCTGCTGCAGCCCTTCCAAAGCCAAAGAATCACCTCTGCTGATCCTCATGACTCGGCAGTTTGGCCTGGCCTAGATGGCTTCTCCCTTTCTGCCGTCCACTAATCGTCTTTTATTCTGGAAAGTCGTTGTGGGTCAGGGGCAAAAAACGGCCGAGATTCCTTTTCGATTGTGGAAGAAGACGACATTTCTTCCTGCGAAGTCGAGGAGGAACTGCAAAGTGATTGACGGAGATGGAACGACCTGGCATGATGACTTCAAAACGGCTGTATTCGTCCAGCTGAGTACCGTGGTTGCGTCTACGGCAGAAGCGACGGCCCTCAATATGGCCGGAGTGACGACCCTTAATTCGGCCAGAATGACGGCCGCTTACCGTGGGCAGATGGATGGCCGCTTACCATGGCCGGGGTGACGGCCCTTAACGTGGCCGAAGTGCCAGTCCTGGCCACGCCTGGCTGCGCCTATATCCAGAATTACGGCCCGGCCACTGGTCGTAATGACGGCCTTGGGTTTACCCTGCCGCACCTGTATCCTGAGTGACGGCCCTTACGTTTATGAAGGCCGGAGTGAAACCCTGGTTTTTAGGCTAGCACATCTATGTACCGTTTCTGCCTCGACTGGCCGTTCTAACCCTCTGGACAAATGATTTCTCAAAACTGAATATAGGGTGGATCCCTCCTTTTCTGAATGACCGAATGCATGTCTTTTCGCTTTATATTGACCGCACTGTTTATCTGACTCGCTCACCTACCTCCCTCTTTTCTTTTTCTTAACTCTTTTATCATAGGTCCTCGGTGCCATCTTCTTTTGATCTTGCGCCGAGTGGTAGTCGTCGAGCTTCGACTGTCCTGATTTCTTCGATCTCCTGAGCATCATCTGCGAGTGAGCCTTCCCCTTTCGGCCACGTTGCCCGACAGCCCGAAGGACTCGAACCCTTCTCTCTAATAGTTTATTAGGGCCATGGCCGTCGGCCAAGATATAGAGAGGCGTGACCACGACCGGATTCTCTGAGGCGCGGCTGGCCCAAAAAACTTTGGGAAACAAGTTGTGCCGCTCGCTAGGTCCCCCTGGTAGGCACGGTCTTGGGTAACCGGGTGCCCCCGGTTCCCCCTGTATCACACCGTCTTTTGTGACAGGCCGGATGTGCTCGGATTGAAGCCCTTGAAGCGGCTTGTCCTGTTGCACGCCGTTTTGCGGCCTTACATGCTGGGCCGTTTGAACGTAAAGCTCGGCCGTCATAACCGGGCTGAGTTGTTTTAAAGAGACGCCGTGGGTTCGACCGGGGTACGTTTGGTCTGCCGGCCATCGAGGTATGGCTATCTGGTTTTGTTGGTCCGGATCAGGGCGGGAACCTCGGTGCGTCTGCGTTGTCATCAGAATGGCTGGATCGGGTATTTGTACTGGTAGTGGAACGACCGGGCCTTTCTGGTCACACTTTTGTGGCGATGCTTCGGTTACGTTGCTCTGGCCGATCTGTACCTGGTCGGCCAACGCGTGAGCTGGGCCGGGATGCTGGACCGCAGATACCGCAGGGCTGCTCTGCCCTAATGCTTTCGCTAAAGCGTGGAGCGGGCCGCGCGTTGTTTTTGCTGGATGGGTTGGTCTAGAATCCGTCCTCGTGGGCTGGCTCTGCCCCCAGCTATCGGCCGGTCGTAGAGAGTGCTGGCCGTAACCTAATGCCTCGGCATGGTCAGAGACGCCGAGACTGCTGTTTTCGTCGTAAGGTTCGGCCCTTTCGTGCTCTCGGCCTCTTTGTCCAGCTCCAGGAGACAATGCGGGCGAGGCCGTCGGCATCACCTCTTGGAAAAGTGTCCGCAACCCGGAGGAGAATCTGTCCATTGCGGCCTGCTTGGACATTAGTTCTTCCATCACTGCTGGTCTCTGTATGGACATGGCCATGCGGTCCGTCGTGATTGGAATGCTGGTTTCCATCATAAGTTTTTGACAAAGATCCCACCGGGCGTGCCAAAAGTGTCTGCCGCGCAAATCTCACAGCCTGGAGTTCCGGGTCGAGGGCATGTGCGTTAACACGGGGTTTCTTGCTTTTGGGTGCGGTGCGGTTGTGTGCGGGCGTGCCAGCACGATTTACCGTGCGTTGATGTTTCGGTGAGTGTTGGATGGGTGAATGGTGCGCCTGTTTGATCTGTCTTCCTGGTCAAACGATTGTAGCCGAGAGAGGAACTGGTCTCGGCTGTCAGGTTCACGGCCTGAACTACAAGGCCGTCAAGTGATGGTGTTGGTGGTGGATTTTGGGCGGTGCTCCGCCGCGCTGCTCAGGGAGCGACGGTCGTATGATATATGGGGTGAATGAACGAACAAACAAGGATGGTGCTCCGGCGCCTTGAAAATCAAGGGTCGTATGATATATTTGATGAATGGATTCTGCTTACAATCCAACACTACTCTTAGGAAAACAAGTAAAGATATTGAAAGTGCATTACAGAAGAAAATAAGTTGCTCCGTGGGAGGCTTGTTTTGGTGTTTGAACCCTTTGAAAGTAGCTCGAGTCTTGTATTTATAGGAAGAGTCCCTGGATGAGTAATCGAGGCTGAAATTACGCATAGTGGAGTCTGATTAGCGCAAGTGGGTAGTCCAATCGACATTTGGGATCGTGAAGTATGGTGATGAGACCCCAGAAATCCTGGTGAATCTCGGCCGCCGCGCTCAATCGTGGGTTTTGAACCTCTGGCCGTGGAGACGCATTTATTGCCTGGATAGCTGGTGAACCAACATCTCAAGCTGTCAGAATCCTTGTGAGAATGTCCACGTCTAATCACTCTGATCTTCATCACCAAATCCTGACTTCAGTCACTTC